GTAAGCATGTAGAAACGACCACTGTCCATCTTTCAGTGTGGCGGCCTTTCTGCGAAAAAGGTGAGCTCTTTATTTAATAACGCATTTGACAAGTCTTAAGATTAATAAAAATACGTTTTACAACTTCCTACAAAAAATTTTATACATAACCGGAATAAATTTTAAAATGCCTCTCTGGCCATCTGTAGAAGTTGTTATACTGAAAAAAGAAATTAAAAAAAAATCTCAACAATAAACTTTTTTTTATTTTTTTTAAATAATTAAAAAAAATTTAAAATTTTATTCAATTTGTAATACGGACTAACATGAAGGAATTTTCAATTATCGTTTTTAAAAAAATTTTATATTTGTATATGATCTAAATACATATTTTAATTTCTTCTGTTCCCTTTAAGCAATATCCTTTTATTTATCATAAATTCAACAATTCTTCATGTTTACGTTATAATAACTTTTTTAATTTAATTTTTTCTTTTTCAAGAGTTTTCTCATCTTTACAAAATTTTGTTTATTTTAAGTTAAGAGAAAATGTTTCTTAATAACTTTTTAACTTACTTTTGAACTTACACCTTTTTAAATTTTAATTAATTAATTCCATTATTTATGCTTTCTAATTGCATAAATTTTGTATATGAAAAATTAAAACAAAATTTAGTTTAGTTGTTCAACCTATAAATGTTATGTCTAAAATACCCATGGTTAATTTTTATTTTTTAAAATAAATTATTATGTGGACTTTAGCATTTCAATTAAAAATTATGTAATTTTTAATTGAATTCATATTGTAATTAATTTGTAACTCAAATAATAACCTGCTAGAAAAAAAATCGGCGACAGTTGTCTTGTTAATATTGTGAGTTATTATTTTGCAAGACAAAAATTTATGAGATAATTATCTATATGTAACTCCTCTATTTAATACTAATAACAGTTTAAAGGAAAACAAACGTCCCAATTAAGAAAAATAAAGCAATCTGTTTCATTACGTTTTAGTAATAATCGCTTTCTGAAGATAAATATTAGAATAGGATTCTTAATATTAAATTAATGATATAATTAATTAAATGAATTAAATAGTTAAAAAGATAGAAATAATTAAATGAATGGGGAGATATACAGATAATGCATTGTAATTTTAAATTTGAATGATAGCAAATACTGCTTTGCGTATTAGTAAAAAATTTTCAGTTTTTAATTTTAATCCATTTTGGAACATGTTATCGCATTCCTTAACATGAAAATTAGTTTTTATAAGCTGACGTCGAAAACATATGTTTTTATGATAACACGAATCACTGCATAGACCCACAGGGCTCAGAACTAGGGCTCCGGATTTCAAGCAGCCCGAAAAATCTTCCTGTATCTCTTCAGATCCCTGTGTTCCTAGTACTAAAATAAGGATACGAACCTTGATGAAAATAACGTCTAGGACTCGGAAAATCTTAGTCCTACTTGGAAAGGTACTAATAGCAAACTTTTAATTCTTTCCATTCCCAAACCTCTCCCTTTCAAAATTATTAAGAATAGAATGAATAAAAAAACGCTTCTTTCTTTGTGCTTAAATAAGTTTATTTTAGTATAATATGCTATTTAATTCAGATAGGAGTAAATGAAGGATTTAAATGCTTATATTTCCTTCCAGAATTAAATAAATATGAAACTGTTCAACAACATTACATTTCCAATTCAATAATACAGTTCCTAATATATAGATGAATAATTATTAGCCCAGACAATTATAAAAAAGTACTGTATTTTTTATTTAAAACTTTTAACATAAGACTAATGTAATTTGTTCATAAATAACATTAATTCCTGATCCAGGTGTGACCTACACATGCATTATATTTAGTGACAGAGGTGTGCTTGCAATGTTTAGTCCAAAGCGGCGTTAGCCAAAATGGACTATTAGTCTCAAAAGGGCATTTTACGCTACATTATTAAAAGCGTTGAATCCTTTTTCAGATTGTTGCTACCAAATATTATAGCCCTGTATTATGTTTAAAGGTCTTAAATAATGAAAAATCTGTATGAATGTACGTATGTTTCTCGCATTGTGAAAAAACAAAGGTACCTAGAGCCATCAAATATATTTTTTTTTAATGGCTATAAAAAATTAGGTCATTTTAGGCTTTTGCCATTACTAAGGCCAGAAATGGTGGTCGTTTTATTACGAAGGCACCTAATGGACTGCCGCGATTATCCCCTCTGAGGGGACACACAATTCACATCTATGCCTTCTCCAAGATGCGGGTCCTTTGATTTCGCAGTTGGCTTTTCCCTAACCATTGTACCATAAAATTTTAAATAACGTAGTACTCCACCCCAACATGGGCACTTGGAAGACCGAATTTTGTATTTCGAATTTATTTTATTATCTATTTCATATTTTGCATAACTTTAACGAATTTTTGATTAAAAAGCTCAACTATTTCAAAACGAGCAGTGGCAACACTACGGAACAAAAAAACTTTTATCTCCAGCGCGTCTATCGAAAATTTTAAAGATATGTTGTTTTTAAATATGTTTAGCTCAAATGCTCTCCAAAAGTGTATGTGCGTGTAAATAAAATTTTAAAAAAAAAACGCCTCTTTGAGTGTAATGTAAAATCTAAAAGCTTTCAGGTTTTTTTTTTTTTTTTTTTTTTTTTTTTCAGTTTATTTATCCGCCAGAAATTAATAATCTGACAAAGAAATAAAACAAATACTTTCAAATTAATAAAACAATACGTTGCTTGCTTTTTGTAATAGTTAACTGAAATGTCATAATGGATAAGCAAAATGGGACTTTAAACAAGAATGAACGTCTGCAAGAAACAGGCTGTTGAAATATATAATAATATTTCGACCTTTTATAATACGCGTAAGTCATTGAGAATAATTTGCAAAGAATTTTATCTTCCAGTTCATTGCTGACTATACTTCTGCTGGTATAGTGCAAATATTTCATTGAGGAGAAAGCAAAATAAACAGAAAAACTGACAATCATGAAAATATTTTTTAAAATTTAATTATAAACAATCCTTTGTGCTAAATGCTTCTTATTCTTCTGATATTCTCGTACTTCAATGCATAATGCAAAATAATTTCATACTGACTTAAAAAGAGAAATAGCATTGAGTAGCAAAAAAAAAAAAAAAAAAAAAAAAAAAAAAAAAAAAAAAACATTTAATGTTCATTATGTAATTTTTTGTTAAGTGGAAAGGAATAATTTGTTTATTGTAATATTATATACCATAATTTGCATAAGCAAAATGAAAAATTCATCGATGTATTTTTAACGAAATCATTCTATTTTAGCATTTTATTTTATTCGTAATGTAACGCCTGATCTTCAATGGTTAATATACTTATAATTTATAAGCAAGCAAAATTATAGTGTCGTATACTTTATAATACTTGTTATGAAACTACATGTATATAATGAAAGCAGTAGACTTAGATGTAATGATATAGAAATTTTGATTACATAATTACTAAGATCCATAATGAAGAGCAAATTTGGCAACCGAAGCAGATTGAAAATCCATCTTTAGTTGAATTGACATTTGCGACTTCAATTCCGTTGGCACTTTAATCGTGCCTATATTTACATACATATTTTATATTATATATATAGAATATTCACATTTTTTTAAATTGTTGTGGTAGGAACAGAGCAGCTAGACACCATTCTTAGTGAGAACAGAGGTAGAAGCAAAATGTGCAATTATTCAAATACGGCAACTTATTAAGAGAAAGTTTCGATTTAAGTTTCCAGTTAGCTACGTCATCACCATTATTAAGCCATACTTATGGGTTGATCTCGGAATGCCACAGTCCAGAAAAGTAGTTACTGTTTTTAGAGCAAAGAGGAGAAATATCAAATTAAAAATGAGAAATTAAGGAGCTATTGCTAAATTGCTAAATTTGGCTCATTTTTTTTATCTTACATATACATACGTGCGCTTGTAAGTACTACATTATAGTATAATGCACACGCTAATATATATATATATAAAGAATTTTTTATTCAGAAGATTGTCTTATCCCATTCGATTTTCGAATATATATAATATCTTAGCTTTTATATACACTAATGGATTTTATATAAACTATGATATTTATTCAAAGTAGATATATCTACACAAATATCTGATTATATGTTTTATATATATGATCTATCAAACGTTTTCTGAAAGATATTTTCGGTTTTTTATTATATATCCAAAGCATATCCAAAATCCATCTATGATCTTTACCATCAAGACGTAATTGTTTAGTATATTCATTAAATCAATATTTTGTTATTAAATTGACTTTTTAGTGTACCAGTAAGAAATTATCTGCATACTCTGTAGGTATAAATGCTTTTTCCAAAACATCTAAATATCAATATTATCCTAAAGATTAGTTTGGGCAATAATGCATTAAAAGAGTAATAATTAAATAGAAAAGTTCATCTACCGACCTCCCCCGCCCCTAATTTGAGTAATTCTTCCTTTTATTCCTCGAGTGAAAGTGCTTGTTAAAGTAATTTTTCAGCGATTTCCCATAAAAATCTTAGGCCTTTTTTTGAGTTCTATTAAATTTTATGGTATTGAAATCATAGAAAGAACTTTATGTAACAGTTATATTTTCCTCCTTGACAGCGGAATAAGAAGGGGAGAAATTTTAAACTCAACCAATACTGACCCGAAATAATAAGTGTTAAACTGTTTTTGAATTTCCTGTTAAATAATAAAAGGGCAAATTTAGACGATCTACAGTTTTCTAAAAATAGTACGGTAAAGAAAATGTAATAGCTTGTTATATGCCTGATATATTTTTGGTTTACTCTGAGGCAGCCAGGAAACATCATATCTTTATTATCGGAAGCCCGACAATCAGAAAGAGATACAGTACCAGGAAACTTTACAAAAGTCCTCTACTATTCTTTTCCCGAGTTGGGACGCCCATTAGCGGCAACCCTGCGAACGGGAGGTAGCAAGTGAGACTTTCAATCGAGAGGCCGGCTTTCGCATCGTTCGCGGCGGCGCATGAATACAGAGTGTCCGATAAACCGCGTCCTCACCTAGGGCTTCATTCCTCCACTTTCTCTCAGACGATCCGCATGTCGCGCTCGAGTCTTCCGTAGCTCCGCCGCTATCGTCACCCCCCCCCATGAGGAAAGAAAAGAATACATACACTGCTTAAGGAATTCCCGCTGCACATTTCCGAAGCTTCCCCCCCCCCATTCAATGAGCGCATGTGGAACAATGAACTGATCGTCTCGCGTAAATTACCAACTAGTGAGCTGCTATTTAAGGTGCTGTTAAGCGCAGCGGATGTTTGGCGCGCTTGTTTTCAACATTCGCACTGCCATCTATCGAACGTGAGTAGTGGCAGATGACGAAACGGTCACGGACGACGCTAGTGTCGTCACGTGACTAACCAACCACTTTGAGCACTAAATACGAACTGAAAATGCGAATGCGTGTCTTGGAATCACGGGGTCGACTGCACCAGAGCGAAAGATCTCTGGACCGCGACGATCCGTATCTTCTGCAGGATAGCATGGCCGATGAACCACCGGAGAGAGAAGTCCCGTCTTCCGAAGTCCCAGATCCTGCTTTCAGGAACGGCGATCCGAATAATCCCGCGGAAACGAGTGGTGAGAAGCTAAACGGCAAAGATCAGAAACCCCGGCACCCAAAGTGTGCAAGATGTCGGAATCACGGTATATTAGAAGATATCAAAGGACATAAACGATATTGCAGGTTTATGAAATGTCGTTGTGCAAAGTGTAAATTAATACAAGAACGACAGAAAGTGATGGCAAAGCAGGTTGCACTGAGGAGGGAACAGGCGATGGATGAAAAGATGGGAAGAACTCCTGTTTATAGTCAGGAACCTGTGCTCCCCAGTGAAACGACACCATCACCAACTGCCACAACATTTTCACCTCGAATGGCATCACCCTTTCAAACTACATCAGCTTTTAAAGCAGCAGGTAAGACAAACAATTATCTTCAAAATATTTCCTCGCCTCTTCTCTAGAGTATTCGGCACTGATTCATTTTAACCCTGTACGAATTCATCCCTAGTATTCGAAAGTTGAGCCTTTTAAATCTAAGTTTTATTCAATAATGTTTTACAATTGTGTGTCTTTCTGAGTTTAGATCTGAATGTAAGGTTTGTTTGGTTACAAAAGAAAATTGTAGAAAAATATTTAGAATCGTTTTAGCATTATGGAATAAATATAATCCCAATGCTATATGTTTGTAACGTATTGCTGTAAGTACTTTTATGCAATATTTATCTAAATATCTTTGATAGTGCATGCAGAAACTAAGTGAAAAATGGCACAGGCTAACCTTTTGATACAATGTAAAGTACATATGTTAAAATTTTAATACAATATGTTAATATCATTAATTACGCATAAAAATCCAATCAGAATTTTAGCACATTTAGCTGAAACTTGTCTTAATCTCAAACAGCATCGGCATTCAGTCCGATATGGGTATTTATTCCCTATAATCTTAGTATACTGTATGCATTATTAATTCACACAAAGTATCTTAAGATTCTGAAGTACGGCTTATGTTCTTGGGAGTTTTCTGCTATGTATTAGTTTTATTTTACTACGTATGTTCATCTACAGTTCGTTTTTTGTCTTTATGCCAATTTCTCTATGTATATGGGTGTTTTACATTATATGGTGTGTATAATATATATGTCTCCAGCGCTTCGCCAAAGCCACGAATTTATTAATTTGAGAAAAATGCCTTTAAAAAGTTTTTCATTTATGTATATCTGATAGAATAGGCAATTCCAACAGGGTCAAAATGGAAGAAATTCCAAAAATTTTAATCATTACACGAAAGAATTCAAAACATGCTTTAACTTAAATACATGTAATCACATTCCTGAGAAAAGAGAACTATTAGATCAGTTCTGTATGAATTGCATACCAGAGAAGTAAAAAAAAAAAAATCTGCGAATAAACTTTACAGTATCAATGCACCTATGAATGTAATTTTCTGTACCAGAACATTTCCCTTTTTAAAATTTGTTACATTTATAAAAAGAGTTATTTAAAATCTAAGCAAATATATTGTTTTCTTTTAAGCTTGTAGTGCTTTAATTTGTTGTCCTCTGAGCGAAATTATTGCGAATGCTCATCATCTTTGCAAAGTAAACCAGGAAATAAGACATAGGCGAAGCGTAAAATGAAATGTATGATATCCAGTTAATGTAGCTTATGATGAAATTTGCATCTTAATTTAATTTCAAATCAAATGCTTTAAACGTCCTAAGACGCTGAAAACATAATCTGAAAAAAAATTCTTCTTGATACAAAATGCATGAAATGCTGAATTCATTAAGTTATGAATCCATTATAGGTTGTTGAGTACAATATATCAGGAGAAGGAAATTGAGGTAGATTTAATAGTAAATGAAATAACAAAATATTACTTTTTGTCAGAATATTAGCTTCATATTCAAGAACTACATACTTTATTTAAGGAACTGATTTTTATCCCTAATAACATTTAATTTAATTTTAAAAGATTTAACATTTAATTTTAAAAGAAGAGTTACACATTGTTCTGTTTAAAGACCTAGAAAAATCCACGCTGTTTCACAAAACAGAAGAGGATAAATTTATATTTACTTTGGGGAACATAATGTTTACAATATACTTGCATAAAAGTGATGCATGTATAAGAGTTTAGGGTCATTTTTCAACGATTCATATAGTTTCGTTTTTTGTCATCTAGCCAAAGTACAGACAATTTGGAAAGGAATCATCTTTCCCCATATATTATATTCAGATTCTGTGGATCTTTCGCTTAATTGGTGCAGCCGCGTTCCGGAGAACGATTTGGAAAGTTATATGGCAACCCTTTTGGGAGGGTGAAGAAAAAAGGAAGAAGAGCGATCAGTTACAAAGTTGTTACATCTCGGCGAATACGCGCGGCTCTGTCTCAGAAGCTGCGCGCGGCGTCCGATTAAAGCGCTCGCCCGTTTCACTCTCACTCTGACAGCGGGGAGAACTACAAGCACTCGTTCCACGTTCAAGTCGATTGGTTTGTTTCTCCGCTAAAGTCGTTTGTGAGTGGCAAAAAAAAAAAATTCTTTCGGCCTTCATTGGAACAAAGCTGATGCGGAAGAAAAGACGGATGATGTTTATCATCGGCGCTCAATTTCTCGTCTCTCATTCAGAGGAGAATCGGAGAGGTTTCGCACTGCCACCTGTCGACGAGGTTTGCAGAGAGAAGCGCAAGTGACTGTGCCGGCGCTAGATGTCGACCGGCTATCGTCACGTGACTCGTCTCCCCGTTCATAGCACCAAATACAAAATCGGAATGAAAGTGCGGTTCGTGGAGACACGAGGTCGACTTCACGAGAGACCGAGCGTTCCGCGGCAAGACGACTCTCAGATGGACAACTCAAACGAAGAGGAGATAGATGTAGTGACCTGCCCTCCTGATCCTCAACCATCTGCCGAAAGCGGAGGGTTAGCTGCCAACACTGACACGAAACCCACTCGCAGACCAAATTGTGCAAGATGTCGGAATCACGGTGTAAAAAAACAAGTGAAAAGTCACAAACGATATTGTCCGTATAAGGACTGCGTGTGTAAATTCTGCTTGCTGATTGTAGAGAGGCAGAGAGTGATGGCCTTGCAAGTTGCCCTGCGAAGAGCAGAGGCTCAGGACTTGGCTAGGGGTATTAATCCAAACGCCGATAACCAGCCTGTGCTACCTCATGAATCTCCACCGCGATCTTCTCCGGAACAAATACCCTTGAGACCGTCTCCAGTTCATGTTTCGGCGTTTAAGCCAGCAGGAGGTAGGTTGCTTCTGTTAATTAGCAATATGTAAACCTACGATGAGAGTAGTTAAGTATTTTTTTCATTTCTGTAATGCATTTGAATGTTTATCACCCTTTTATTAATAATGGAGGTTTTAATGCTTGAAAGATTTCTGTTATTTCATACATTATTCGGTCTTATAATCAGACATATTAATTATTTACACAAAGTACATAATTATCACATATGGACTTAACAATCCTTGATGCTAATATTTAGTCATAAATTGCATTAATCTGTTGCACCTATGCTTAGTATACTTATGCATATAGTGTCGAATTTCAGTTTCAATCATTTTATTACCGTATAAATAACCATGTAAGCTTTTTCTTAGATAAAAATGACTTATCAAATGAAATCTTAACCTGTAATTATGTCTTATAATATGCCTTAGATCATGTAAATTTTAATCATTTCTTATATTTCAGTTACTTCAGAATTTTGATAGCTGTTGATTTCAAATAAATTAAATTTTATTTGTGTTTTTATTTTACGTTAGAAACTTAACTTTTAGGTAAAGAATTATAATTTCTGTGAATAATCGAATTTTCTTTACTATGTTGTTAATAAAACATTTTATTTCGCTATCTTTGATTCATATTAGTGAGTTAGAAGTATTAAGCAATTATTTTACTAAATATTAATGAATATTCCTATATTTATTTTTTTCCAGTTGGTCGTAAATACTGCAGTTATTTGGGATTTAAAGCTTCTTACTATGCATTTGATATCACGCGTTTAGGTGTGAAAGTCACATAAGAATTTAGATATTAAAGAAAAATGCATTTTCTCTATTTTAATAGAAACCCAAAGATTTATTGAAAAGTTTTTCTAAATTATACTAACTTTAAAGTTTTCAATAAATATTAACATTCGCGTCAGGGTTACAAAGTATGTTATTTATCTCTATTTCTGTTTATCGCCAAATCTCGCCATGTTGAGAATGAAGTAACGTTTTCTTTCTGTTTTACCTTTTTGAACAAGTATAAAGAAAATTTATTAAAACAGTGCATCTATAAAGATAAATTTTACTTAGTAGTTAAATTTTGCATTTTCCCCTTCATTGATGTCTTCTTTAATTAAAAGTTAGCAGCTTATTAAGCTTGTTTTGATGGTGTTTTCTTCATAGATATCCCTTTTATTTTAGAAAGTCCTCAGCGAAGGACTTTCTTCTAAGTCTTCCGACTCGTCTATCATGTTAATGATTGTAATAATTTCAACACAGATCTGCAAAACGCTTATTTGTACAATATATGCTAATTCTCACTTTAATTGGAATCTTCAAAAACAGATTACTTTTCAAATAATAAATATATCTACTAGAAAATAATTGCAATTTTTTTTAAGTATGTTTAGTCAAAGTTTTCTGGTTCATGGTTATTTTACAGCCCTTTTTTATCTACAAAACTGTGATATCCAAAATTAAACAAATAAATAATAGTCCTCATATATAAACTCTAAATTTATGCATTAAGTTATAAAATTTTCGAATTTTATCGTTTTTTATTTTATTTTATCTCATCTATCATATTTATGCGTGTATTCACATAATTATGCGTATATAGATGTACCTGAAAATAAGGAGAAAATTGATGAAGTCATAATGTTGTTCCTAAAATACCAATAAAACTAAGTGAAACTAATTTAATGAAAATTTTTATGAATTCCCTCTAATTTCCCTCTCATATTTGCGCCGTTAATTTAATTGTTGCTTTAGGTATTTATTATTGAAATTTCTTTAATTGTGTACAAATTCCATTGTTTATTTATATATACAAAATACTACGATGCAATTAAATTTTCTTGTTTGCATTTTTTTAAAAATAATTCAACAGAACTGAGATTTTTTTGAAAAATATTAATTTTGCAATCAGGACCGGATTAAAACAGTATGGATGGCTAGGGCTATCATATATTCAGGGGCTTCTAATTTTCATTTTATTTGCTTTTATAAGGAGAAAAACAATATTCTGAGGAATTATTAGATTAGTCTGGCATTCTCTAAAATTGGAGCCCTAGCCTCAGACCCTGTAACCTTAAACGGTAAATAATACGAGCCTTCTTTTCAACAACGGCATAAAGACAAATCAGCGTAATGCGAAAATTTTGAGTAAAAATTAAGAAAACAAATAAATATTTTTATGAGTAGAATACGTTATTTTAAATATAACAGACTAAAATTAAGCAATAAAGCGTTATTTTAATTCACTATTTTGCATAATTAACTCTGAATTTTTTTTAACTTCGAAATTTTGTAAAAGACACTAAAATGCTTTCCAAATATTTTATGTTTTATTCTTATGATTTTTTTTAATTCATCATTATTTTCTCTAGAACAAAGATTTTCAACATAGTCTTTAGGAACCGATATAAGTTGTGAAAAAAATTGCGTTTATTACATGTATTGGCTACAGATTTTTGACATGTTGTCGATGACAATTGTTGGATGATTAAGTGACGGTTTGAATAGTTTCTAAGAATCAAAGATTTATACATAACTTGATATCGAAATAAATAACTCCATTCCTTGACATCTTGACTGTAACTAGTGGTAGCTCGTCTGTGAAGCTGGGTTTTAGTGCAGAATATTGGAACTTCCACACGCGATTCTTAGACATCTGTCGCGACCTTCACAAACGAGACGCGGAACCGACACAAGGACGAAAGGTCTGACGAGGTTGTCTGATTTCGAAGTTCAGAATGTACCTATGATGTCATTCCGCAACACTTGGAATTAGTTGTCTTTTGATAAATTTCTTACTTAGTGCCTTTCAATTTTCATTACAGTTACGTAAGCATTAATTTTCCGTAAAACTAATAACGTAAACTTCTTCAATAAGACTGATGTATAAACAGCAGAACTCCTTCTAATTACTGCGGGCGGCGCTTTTGGGAAAACCTCTTGACTATGTTTTAATCAGTCAGAAGTAGAAATAAATACATATAATATTGTTTCACATAAATATTTACTTCAGTATTTTCATACATATTCTATTCCAAACTTTTAATAATAAGTGAGCACAATTTTTGGTATACTTTTCTAACGCTTACGAAGATTGCAGAAAGTGTTGACTAGCAATATAGACCGGTCGAGTGCCTGAGTGGGTAAGCCTAAGTTCGATCCCTGGCGAAATTGTTTTTATTATTTTCTCCATAAGTAGCATGAATACAAAACAGTTTCATTAAAAAAATTCTCTACATTACATCTCTTCGTGGGATCTTTCGTTTTCACCACCTTATGGGAAGAGACTTAAAATTACTTTTGATATAATAAACTGAAATTATTTCTTGTGAAATTATACTTATTTTTGAAAATATAAGAAGGAACCGATTTAAGATGAAGTCCAAATGCACGGTTTTTAGGTTTCACTAAATCAGTATTATTTCTCTCCACTGTTTAGGCAGAACTCATGCATCGCAAGATCGGGTTTCATGACGTAAAACAAGTAACATTTTCATACAACGGTAGCATTTTTAATATATAAAGTATAAATTTTATGTTCGTAGCAAAACTGTAAAATGAAAAAATAGCTGTTTTATTTTACATCCCAAAAATATATTCTTTCATTTTATATTTTTGCTATTAACCCACGGGAGTAGTTGGCACAGAAGGGCTATTTAATTCGTTTTGGCATTTTGCTTTGGTTCACTATAAACGTCGTTTCACTTTTCAGATTGTTGCCACCAAATGTTAGAGCCCTGCATTATATTTAAAGAAATTAAATAATGAAGAATCTGCATGAATTTATATATGTTTCTCGCACTGTGAAAAAAACAACGGTATCTAGAGACATCAAATTTTGAATAACGTAGTCTTTCTCTCGAATATGGGCATCGGGAAGTACAAATTTGGAATTTGAAATTTGTTTTATTATATATTTCATATTTTATAAAACTGTAATAAATTTTTGATTAAGAAACTCAATGATTTCAAAGCGAGCAATGGCAACACTGTACGGAAAAAACCTTTTTATCTCCAGCGCGCGAAGCTGTGTATAGGAAATTCTAAAGATATGTTCTTTTAAAATTATTTTGTGATATTGCTATTGAATTGAATTTTGTGGTTTAAGTGCGAAGAACATGATATTTAATAAGCAGAGGTAACACACAAAACCTTAATAAACGCCCCTTTGGAAGTAATATAAAATCTGAAATCCTTTTATTTTAATTTATTGCTTTTTATTTATTTATTTCTAGAACAGCAAATGTTTAAAACAAATTTAAATAATTATTAAATATTTGCTTTTGTTGCTGTGATATTACTTGGCAAATTAACATAAAATTCCCAGAGTTTCCTTTTTGTATTTTTATTATGGCAACAGCTATCAGCTTTCTAACTACGTAACCTTGATTATTTATCAGTTCCGCTACCGTCTGCGTAAAATTGCTGAGTAGACTTTTCGCAATGAAATGTATGTTTTATATTCAGTGTCTTTTATGTTTTAATGTAATGAGTTAGCTTCAAAATTAACTGTCCATAAATTAATTGATAGTTAGATAATTTTTAACCTGAGGCGTATCCATTAATCACCAAAATGATTAACTTTTGTTTTGTACATGATTCTCAATATTTCTAAAAATTATTTCGTGCATAAGGCATGGAGAGTTTTGCTTTTACCTGTTTAAAGCGTAACGGATATTTTCCTAAGCATAATTTTTCATCTATGGAAGCCATACAAAAAGTTTTTTTTATTATTATTATATTATTATTTTTTTTATTTTTACAAAGCTTTTCTATCCGCAGTGTCGATCAAGTTTTAAAAGAATTCTATAGGTTATTATAAAAAATTTTTATTTTGGAAACACTTGTGCAATAACTGTTTTTTTTTATTAATTTATGTGTTGTTTGCATATATGGTTTTAGAATTAGACTGCTCGACCTGTTTTGTATTTAATTCAATGAAAGATTCTGTTGCATTTTTTGAAATTATCTGGATCTTAACGGATTTTGGATGCGTGGAAAATTGAATAAATTTCT